ATGGAGCTTGTACGGGGCAGGGATCGTAGTGGAGTGGTGTCAGAGTCCTCTGGGTGTGGGACAGTGTGGGAACCGGTTTTGGGGTAACAACAGCCTTGTCTAGGGTTGGGAATGGAGAGATGCCCCCTGCTCCCTGCAGCAGGTGAGGTGGGTCCTCCAGCCCACCCCATCCCTCCCTCACATTTGTGGGGGTTCCATAGCTGGGGACTGACCAGAGGCTGTGGTCCTGCTTGTCCACGGCCAGGAGCCCTTCCGACGTTGGGCTGTCACCCCTGTGCTCTCAGCCCTGCCTGGACCCGTGCTTGGCCGCTCACACTCTCCCTCTTTTCTCCTCAGGACCCCTCTGCAGACCTGCTCTCACTGCTGAAGGCTCTACTCCCGCTGCAGTCGCAGCACTGACCCGGACCAGACGCCAGGACCGGAGCACCCGCTGCTCCACGATGCCCATTCAGGGACACGTGTGACTCCTCGGACAGCTGCGGGGACGAGCTGTCCCCGCCAGAGCCTGAAGCTGCTGGATGTGTTGGGCGGCCGTGGCTGAGTGTGAATAAACCCTTGTGCCCTCCCCACGTGTCTCTGTGGATGCTCTCTGGAGATGGGCATGGGACAGGATTTGGCATGTCTGGTAGTCTAGTGTGCCTGGGGGTCTTGTGTGCCCAGGATCCCCTTGCTGGGCTCCGGGGCTGAGGGCTGTGGGGCAGCCAAGCATTATCTGGGAGAGCATCGGGAGGAGGTTATCAAGAGAGACGTCACCGCCTCGGGGCCTGATCCCCACCAGGGATGAGTGGGGGTTGCCCAGCACCCTCCAGATCCAGCCCTCCCACCTGGCAGTTCTGTGCCTGTGGGAGCCCCTGCCAGTGCAGAGTGAAGTTATTTAGGGTCCAACGAGGTGTGGGTCTGGGGCTGAGTCCATGGGCTGAAGAACCTGCCAGAAGGAAATTGCTAGTGACTGTGACACAGCCCCTCTGTCCCCAGCCTGCTTGGTGGCTCCCGGAGGTCTAGGGTCCCCATTAGCAGGAGGGTGGTGGGACCTGGCAGCCGGGTGCTAATGCACTGGTGGGCCACTCCCCCCACTCCAGGATCTGGGGTGGGGGTGGGGGGTTAATCAGTCCCACGGAGTGTGAAAGAACTCGCTAATGAGGTTAATTCCCTCTCTTGGGGGGGGAGATACCAAGCCTTTGAGGTGCAAAGCAGCCCCATGCCCTCCTCCAGGCTGCACACACACACACACACACACACCCCCGCCAGGGCTGAAGGGACGTGGGGACAAGCTTCAGCCATGGGGACACACATCATGGAGACACTCTGCCATGGGGACAGCCATAGTCTGGGGGAGCAACTGGCAGTGGTGGGTGTGCGAGG